TAATATAACAAATTTACAAAAATACAATATAAATAATATATTTATAAATAAATAATAACATATATTTTTATTATATATATTTATGTATATTTATAAATATAGAACACATTGGATTGGATAGGGGTGATCCAAATCTGATCCGATTTCTAATCGGATCATAGGATCCGATCCAATACGAAGATCCGACTAGGGGTGATCTGAATTTGACCAAATAGGATTGAATCTTGGATTAGATTGAATCATGATCTTATCCATTTGCACCCCTAATGAAAGTTTCTAGGAGCATCCTTTTTTCCACCTATGTCCTTGCGAGATTTTGGGATGATGCTGTCACGACAACCACATATCTTAATAATTGTATACTTAGGTCTTGGGGCTCAAGTCTCCCTTTGGTGTCTTTTTTCCAAACGTGATATCTTTTGTATTCCTCTACGAGTATTTGGTTGCACCTGTTATGTACACATTCTTATCTCTCAAAGACCCAAATTTGAACCCAAGGCTCAAAAGTGTATTTTCCTTGGTTATACCTCCATACAAAATGGTTACTATTGTTTTGATCCTATGAGTAGTACTTAGTTTGTTTCTATGAATGTCACTTTTACAGGGCCCATTCCATATTTTATATTCATTCTTTTGAGGACGAGTGTTCCTTCAAGATATTTGCTTTACCCCTTCCCTTACCATCTGCTATTGAACCTTGTGTTGAGTCCTCTATAGCTTTCTATTATTGCAATTGAGTCTTCCTCTCTTCCTAGTTCTCCCATTCCTTTTCTTCCTACAATTGAATCTTCCCACAATAGATTTTTATATATGAGGAAATAGGAATAAACATTGAGAGATATTAGCAACATTTCAAAAAATATAGTGTTTTAGCTTCTATTGCCCTAGTGATGAACTCAGTGCCAACACATTATTAACTACTTACCCAACTATTCTACTTGTTTAACTAATATCTATTAACAAAAATTCAGGCATGCAAGCATAATGGATAAATGAGTTATAAATTTTAACTAGGAAAACTGAAAATAGTAAGAAAATACCAATAATAATGTGTCCAAGTAATACCAAATGAATGCGGCTTCGATGTATAGATACAGACATAAACTGTATATGTGCACGTAACCCCATATATCAAAGATTCTACTAGATCTTAGATGCTATCATCCTTATAAAGACCCCTTCCAAGAAAATAACCAAGTTGTGTGCCAATCTCAAATCACAATGGCAATGATGTGTGAATTGTTCATCAACATTGGGTTTTAATAGTAAATTATTTGCCCACACAACAATAGTTCAATGTGATGGTGTACTCTACCTTAATCTTAATTCCCAAGAAGGATGGGGTGGAATTGGTGAATGATCTTAGACCTATTGGCCTTACAAATGTGGCTTATAAGGTTGTATCCCTCTGGCTATAACAGTACATGGATTCCCTCATTACCCCATTCCAAAATGCCTTCTCACCCGATAGACAAATTCATGGCAACAGAGTGATAGCCTCAGAGGTTTTGCCTTCAACAAAGAAAGCAAGGAACAAAGTTGGCAATTTTATGCTCAAAGTGGATTTATCCAAGGCTTACAACAGGGTGGAATGGAATTTTCTATTAAGGAGCATTCAGTGTAGGGGTTTCTCCACTCAATTCCATGGTCTTATTAAGGCTTGCATATCTACAACATTGTACTCAATTCTGTTGAATGGAGAACTAGAAACTGATTTTAAACCCGAGAGAGGAATAAGACAGGGCTGCCCCCTCTCCCCATATCTCTTCATTCTCTATATGGATCTCCTCTCTCGTTGCCTCCACAAACACTTGGAAACCGGCTTCCTTGTTTGGTGCTAAATTAGCTTGTTACTGCCGAAAAATAAACAACTTGTTGTTTGTTGATGACATCTGAAGTTTTGATTGAAGCTCTGAAGAGGAAACCAATACTGTAAGGAATAGTATTCTGCAATTTGGAGTCTGGTCAAGTCAGGAACTAAACCTTTCTAAGTTTTCTATACATTGTAGTCCTAATACACATCGCAGGAGAAGGAAGGAGCTTGCCACCCTTATGGGGGTATGGATCATGCAAGGTAAGGACAACTACTTGGGTGCACCTTTACTCCTTAATCATGGTAAGGCATCCCCATCTGGAATTTGGTTGTACAAAAATGTAAAAATAAACTCAAATCTTGGAAGCCCCACTGGCTCTCTCATGCAGGGAGAGAAATTTTGGTAAAATCCATGATCACAGTCATACCCTCTTACTTCATGGCAACCCAAATAAACCTAAAATCCACATGCTAAAAAATCAACTCAGTTGCTAGGAACTTTTGGTGGGGATTCTCTGCTTAGAGCTCATCATATCTATTTACAGAGGTCGGACAAATTCTTAATGAGTAAAGAAAATGGAGGATTCAGTCAAGATGTAACCATTTCTAACAGAACAAGATAGATTTTGGGCATAAATGCCCTTCCATAAATACATTGCACTCAAAATTCCTTTTGGACTATTGAGCAGAGAAAGTCATATTCCCTACTGTGGCAAGGGATGTTGGATTCTAGGAGGGATGTTGCTTAGTTGTGCAAATGAAGAAAAGAGATTGGAACTTCTAAATAGAAATGGAATTTAAAAATTGTAAAATTAAAAATAAAATTAATAATAAGAAGTACAAGATGTCTAATAATTTCATAGAAAATTGCTAGCATAGATTTTTACCAATGGATGACCGACAGTTATTGTCTATTGGCATAAGTTTTCACAACAACGATGGGGTAGTGGAAATCTATAATGGCGATTTTTGAGACCTAGGTCAGTGGTTCATGACGGTCAACATGGAGTTTGTTTGAAGAATGAAAAATGAATAACGTGGAGCACAATTATTTTACATATTGCTGCAAGTTCATTTTTTGTGTCATAGACTCAGTTTTTTATTCTAAAATGAATGAGATCCAGGGTAAAAATTTGTAACCAAACTTCCTAATGTAATTCATTCTTAGCCAAAATGAATAAGAAGAGACCGAATCTTTCCCCCACAATGTTTCACAGCACATCTCCGCTGTAATTAGGAACATCTCCCAATGATAACATCATCATTCCAGATATTATCATCGAGATATGTTCCCAATACATGGCAAAAATGTGCTATGAGACGTTGTGGGGGGCTGATTTCAACTTGAATATGAATAGAAAAAATGAAACCTATGGCAGCAAACCAAAGATAGCCTTAGAATCTAGTTTCATCCTTTACCCTACCTTATATTGACATGAATTCCATTTTAAGACAACCTTGTTATGTAGACCATTTTATTCTACCACTTGAAATTTGGGTTTTCTTTGTCTATGGCACAACTGAAGAATGAGTACTCCAAGAGAATCTATTAAAAAAAGAACAACGTATCCAATGTAAAAACAATTGACACTTTATATGGAGATTCGGGTCGTGGAGAATATAGAGGTAGTTCTCTTGATAACGGTGAAGGATATCTCCCATAAGGGCCAATGCTGTCATTCTCTATGATCAAAGTAAAAAAGTAACTTTCGTTCCCCACTTCCCATCCATAAAGTAGCTTTTGATAAAGTAAATCAGGCAAGAGAAAAACTGATGTATCTTTTGAATAACGTTATAAAGAACACTTGCATAGTCATTTTTATCAGCCCATGAATTTTTATCATTCATTTGATGGAAAAAAAAAAGCAAGAAAGCAATTTTTTATTGTCAAAATTTAAAGCCAATGAATTATGAGTGTTGTAGGGTTATTATATTTATTGTGTAATTTATGGAAAATCACTCAATTTTTAAAATTTTTAAATAAATATTAATTACTTTTAAACAATATTTTCAGATTGTGACCTAGTCACAATCCGTGTCAACCACTGAAGTCTGATCCACTACATTATCAAAAAAAAAAAAAAATGTTGACTTAGTCGTTAACTCATCAACCCGGATGCTTAAATTATTGACCATCTAACCCATTCAATGGACAACTTTTTTCTTATTATATCATATTGTTTAGTAACTTTCTATATTAATAACATCATGGATTGACCCGGAAAATTGAACTGCTGACCCATTGACCCGAAGGGTTCTTACTCGGATCTTAAAACTTTGATTCTAAAATATAAATCTTGCTGACAGAGTTAATTCTCCAACCCAACAAAGAAGTAAACAGTGTTTCTTCACCGATAAACATTTTTTAAGGATTCTTCAGCCGATAAACCGGAATACCTACCAAACCAATCACAAATACAAGACTTTTAATAACAGGGCACCGCGTGAAATCCGCTACTTCCTTTGACGTAGGATTGCGCTAAAACCATGATATTACGGCTTTGTATGGCGCACGTAACGTCATTTCATTCGATTAAAGACGGTCGTGTTGCCTTCTCCAATGAAATATTTGGGGGTTGACCTGGGCCAAGACTTAGGCTAAGTTGAATTATATAATAAATTAAAAAAATTATTTATTTTATTAATATATTATATATTATATAATTATTATATAAATATATAAATAATATATACGGATTGTGCCATAGGCCGAGGTGCGGGCTAGGTTACATTGGCCTATGGACCTAAAACCCCAAGCCCAGTATGACTCGTATGATTAAGCCGAGCCTAGTATGGTATATGGACCATCGTACCAGATCGTGCTAGACCGGTCTAAGTTCATACCGGGCCATAAGCGACATGGCCAGATTTACATCTCTAGCAATACATCGAGTGACGTGATTAACGGTTTTAGCCCAATGCTACATCCATTGGCATAGCAGATATTTCTAGCGTACCCCGCGTTCAACGAATCAAGGTAAGGTACCTTGGTGGTTTGGACTTTGAAGCTTCAACCGCGTTTTCTCAACAATAATGAGGACATACATTTAAATGGGGGACCCACACCGAGAGTTTCCTTGAAATATATACTGGGCTGGTGGCAGTGGGGGCCCACAAGGACTAATGGAAAAAAAAGGCCGCAATGACCGTCGAAGTCATTCTGGCAGGGAAAAAAAAAAAGAAGGAAAAGAAGCGTTTGTAAGTCAGTCAGTCAACTCTTTAGGGTCCAGTCAACGACACCCATTCTCCGTTTTTTTGCAGTTTTCCACAAGCTCACAGTATCCAACAAACGCCACAAAATTCCTTCTCTCTGGTTTCCCTCCTTCCTCCTCCCCTGCTCTGCTCTGCTATTCTCTTCTTCTCTACAAAGGATGAGGTAGAGCTCAGCAAACTACGTTTGGACTCCGAAACTTGAATCTGGAAAACAAAATCAAGCACATCTGAGCAAGTGATTGACCTGCTAAGATGAGCAGGTATGTTCGTGGGTCTTCTCTTCTCCTTTTCTTTTTCTCTTACTTGCCTGTGGTGTTGTCTCTACTCCCTCAAAACCAGATGAAAATCATGGCCAATCTCAACAACACTCTTTTTAAGGAAGCAAACCCAAATCCTTGTTCATGGCAACGAGTCACTTGCGACAAGAACAATAGCACCGTAATCAGTATTTCGCTCTCTGGTTTGGGTCTCTCTACTTCTGATATTCTGAATAGTACATGTCAGATTGATTCACTACAGTCTCTTGATGTTTCCAGCAATTCTCTAAGCTCTATCCCTGAAGAGTTTCTCAAAAATTGTGGAAAGCTTAATGGCTTAAGGGCCTTGAACTTCAGCCATAATTTGTTGTCTGATGTTTTGCCTACCTTTGTTGGTTTTGCTGGGTTGCAGTCCTTGGATTTGTCCTATAATTCATTGCGCGGAAGTATTAGTTCTCAACTAGAAAGGTTGGTTGGACTTAGAAGCTTGAACCTGAGCAGAAACAATTTTGCTGGTTTTGTTCCTACCAACCTTGGTAACTCAACGGTTTTGGAAGAACTGGAGCTCTCAATCAATGTGTTTAGTGGTCCAATCCCTGAAGAACTCATGGTTTACAAAAACCTTATTTTACTTGATCTCAGCGGAAATAATCTTTCAGGGCCTATTACAGAAAGGATAGGGGAGCTTTCGAAGTTGGAGACCCTCCTTTTGTCCTCTAATTATCTAGCTGGAGAAATCCCTGAGAATCTTTCTACAATTCAGACTCTGCGGTGGCTCAGTGCAAACCAAAACAAATTTTCAGGTAAAATTCCTCGTGGAGTTTCAAGCTATGTGAAGATTTTGGACCTGAGTTTCAATATGTTAAATGGGTCAATTCCGTCAGACTTTTTCTCACCTCCAAATTTGCAGTCTGTCGATCTGTCTAACAATTTACTAGAAGGGACAATTCCAACGAACATTTCCCAGAGTATAATCCGTCTGCGACTCGGAAGCAACTTACTTAATGGGACCATCCCTGCCATACCCAATGGAACGTTTATGAAGTTGACCTATCTTGAGCTCGATAGTAACAGATTAAGCGGGGAGATACCCCCAGAACTGGGAGGCTGCAAGAGTTTAGCACTATTGAATCTCGCCCAAAATCAGCTGACGGGTCCATTGCCAAAAGAGTTGGGTAATCTTTCCCATCTTCAAGTTTTGAAGCTACAGTCTAACAAGCTGGTTGGAGAAATTCCTGATCAACTTTCCCAGTTACGGAACTTGTTGACATTAAATATCAGCCAAAATTCACTTACTGGTTCAATCCCATCAACAATATCCAGCTTAACGAATCTTACAAATCTCAATCTGAACAACAACAAGCTCAGTGGTTCGTTACCTGATTCAATTGCCAACTTGAATTCACTGTTAGAACTCCAGTTAGGGGCCAATGAACTGAGTGGAAATATTCCAAAGATGCCAAGTAGCTTGCAGATAACACTCAACCTCAGCAGAAACCTCTTTGAAGGAACTATCCCAGACACTCTCGCTGAACTGTCTAGTTTGGAGGTTTTAGATCTGTCAAATAACAAATTTACTGGTAACATCCCAGGCTCTCTGACCAGAATGTTTAGCCTAACAACGCTGTTGCTTTCCAATAATCAGCTATCTGGAAGTGTTCCAAAGTTTCGGCAACAGAACATGATTCTCGAGACAGATGGAAATAAGGGTCTAATATTTGATACTCCGGCAACCCCAAAACCTACCAAGAAAAGTAATTCACGGGTGGTGGTAGCTGTTATTGCAGTTGTCTGTGCAGTACTCGCTGTTGGGGTTATTGGGGTCATTTTTGTTCTGGTTTCAAGGCGCTATCACAGGATCAATGATGAGATCCCACAACTAGAAGAACATTTTCCTTTTCCTCGGGTTATTGACTATTGTATGATTACTGGAAGCAGCATTCACAGATCAAATATCGACTTCAATTTAGCCATGGAAGCAGTTGTTAATCCAGCCAATATCATACTGAAGAGTAGGTTCTCTACCTACTACAAGGCTGTCATGCCCAGTGATACAACTTATTACATCAAGAAGCTTAATTGGAGTGATAAGATATTCCAACTAGGGAGCCATGAGAAATTCAGAGAAGAGCTAGAGATTCTAGGAAGGCTGAACAATTCAAATATCATGATTCCTCTAGCCTATGTCTTGACTGATGAGAGTGCTTATCTGTTCTATGAATATGCCCAGATGGGAACCGTCTTTGATGTTCTCCATGGAAATTTGGGAAGTACTTTGGATTGGGAAAGCCGTTATAGTATTGCTGTTGGTGTAGCTCAGGGTCTGGCATTTCTCCATGGTTGCACCAGTGGCCCAATTTTCCTCCTTGACCTTTCAACCAAAAGTATCCTACTGAAATCCCTGAAGGAGCCCCTAGTTGGGGATATTGAACTTTGTAAGGTAATTGATCCTACAAAGAGCACTGGAAGCCTTTCAACTATTGCTGGTTCTGTTGGGTTCATTCCTCCAGGTGAATCATCCTAACATTTTACTATCTCAAATCCTATATTTGTTTGAACTGGTGTACACTAATTACTTCAATATTTGTTTTCTAAATATTGTATCTTGTTGTTTCATGGTTTTCAGAGTATGCTTACACAATGAGGGTGACAATGCCTGGGAACGTCTACAGCTTTGGTGTTGTACTTCTGGAATTGCTGACTGGTAAACCGGCAGTCACCGAAGGAACTGAGTTGGCTAAGTGGGTAATGAGTAATTCAGCACAACGTGAGAAATGGGATAAGATCCTTGATCCTAGTATCAGTAAAATATCAGTTGGAGTTCGAAATCAGATGCTATCAGTTCTGAAGGTTGCTTTAGGTTGTGTCAGTGTCTCTCCAGAAGCAAGGCCAAAGATGAAGAATGTGCTAAAGATGCTGCTTAATGCAAGATAAGCACTCTCAAAGGCATTTATATAATATAAAAGTTTGAAGAAGGCTCATACATATTAAATCCAATTTGTGGTTGTGTGTGTGTGTGTGTTTTCCTTTCATGAGAAGAAATTTGTTAGTTTTGTGCTTATGTATCTGTAAGAATGGATAAACAATTTTCTGTTCTATACATAATACATACACCAAGCTTGGTTTCAGCTGTGATCCATTCATTTACACCCTATTTCACTAACCCCTTCATTTCATTGAATCTTAGAATATGAATCCTTCCCTCTGGCTTGAAATAAATCAATGTGCTGGATCATAACTGGACATCTGAACTGAACAATGCTGGATCATAACAGGAGAGTCCATTTTCAGCTGGAGTTTTAGAGGGACGTTTTCAGGCTAGTTACAGAAAAGCAGGGAGAAACCATCTCTAAACTTTAAATGAAATGCCCAAGACGAAAGAAACAATTCATTAATCGGGTATTTATAGATACAGATCACCGACTAACCCACTTGTTGCCACTTGTGTTTACAATGTAACTAACTAACCATATTTGGCATAAATATTTTGACACATGTAATACCATCTTCGTTTAATCACTTTCTTAAGCATCACTATAATGGGTGTGCTCCATCTCTTGGTTCATCAACATTGACATCCGCACATTCTCACCTGCTTTAATAGACAGCCATATGATCGGAATACAAGTAACTCATCCATCTCCAAACCAAACCATGTTTAGAATATATACTGTATGTAGTATCATATATACTGCACTGTGCATATGTTACTGTTGTCTGTTATTTAGGTTTGTTTTGTGGTAATAATTCAATACATGAGTCAACAACATGCACTGAACAGATTGGAATGGTATAACAGGATTTATGTACTAAAACCTGAAGAGTTGGGGTAAGACTTAGTTCAATTGGGTTAAAAGCATATGCAAATCATTCCATATTGAAAACTCCTTGAGAAAGCTGCAGAGTATTGATGCGTAGTAGCACTTGTACAGAAGTATATTTCTTGAGCATTGCTACCAATTAGCTATACAGTAAGTCTCATCTGAGGGCCTGGGTGAAGAGTAATAGCTCACAGATTCCCAGCCTGTAGTAGAGTTTGTTTTAGCAATGACTTGAGAAAGTTGATACATTTCCTCTTACTTTTCATTTACAGAGTGTTCCTTTAGAAGTCAACTATAGCATGATTTGGGTTTCACATTTCAGTGCCATATGCAATCGATTTTTCAATTTAAGTCCACATGGGCCTTGGATGAGTGGATCCATCAATGTCGTTAATTAATATTTGACTTTTGAGGCCTGATCTCCTTGCTTCTCTAAGACAAATAGAAGGCATAGTCAGCTTGCATTAATCGGCCCTTTCGAATAAAGGGCAGAATAATACAATACATGTTGGAGCTAAAAAAATGAACAATACAATCCATGCTTTCTCTTTAAGCTAGGTTAAACAAGATCATTTCCTTTTAGTTCTTATTCAACTTCTTCTCTAGATTTTTCATCAGATGGGTTTAAACAGTAAGATGACAATATTAGAAAGAGCAAATGGAGAGAACCGCTATCTTCATGATGGAAAATTTTCTAGAGCAAGTACGATTCGCAGGGGCAAACTTGCACCCTCAAAAATGAAGATGATAGCAGAACATCTGAATATGTAAAGTTCTAATAAAGTCAGAATGGTAAGGGAATTACCCTCCAATATTGAAGCTTTTTGGATCCAGCCACTCGTGGATTATGCTCTACATTCAATGCTGAGTATAATTAAGAAAAAAATAATTAACCTTAAAGTGGCATGAATCATTCATACAGATAAGACAGATTGGAATAGGAAAATCTAATGTTGATTGTTTAAAACTTCAAGTGAAAAAAGGGCTTCAAAAAAGGAAAAAGAGAAAGAATCTAAACATCAATTGCTTGTCAAAACTCCACTCTTCATTCCTGTTCAAACTGCCAACGGACTGATGCTAACAAAATAAGTCTATTCTGTCACCATTGCACATCAGCAACAAAGCAACTTGATAATGGCAGCCTTAACATTAGAAGATCATCTTGAATAACAGAAACCAATATGACCCAATTCAGTCCCCATGCAGCGAAGTTAGAAGGTGAGATCTTTAGGATCCTCAATAATGTTTGCCAGAGTTTGCAAAAATGCTGCCAGATCAGCACCATATATGATACGATGATCAGCTGTAACATTTACCTGCAAAATTTAGAATGAATTTTTCCATGTAAGAACTTGTTGCAGATAGTCTATTGTGATAAAGAAGCATTACATAAGATGTCTAATCATCCTCACCTGCATCTGACTTTTCATACCAATCCGGCCATCCTTGGTAGCAACTACAGTAGGCTGAGATGCTCCAACAGCCATGATTGCTCCCTGAGTCAAATCCAAATCACATGATGAATCAACATAGAAATTTAATCGCCAATTTGTAATGCCTGCTTGAGTGAATTACTTAAAGAGGCAATTGTCCAAAAATTCAGAGTTATCACTTACAGTTCCAGGAGGCAAAATGGCATCAAAACGGTCCACGCCAAACATCCCAAGATTTGAAAGAGTGAATGTCCCTGGAAACCAATGAAATGATCTAGTTAGCTACCAACAAATAAGGTTCTTGAAATGGTAAACCAGCTATAATGGAATATTCACAGAAAAAATCAGTGAACTTTTACCCAATTTCCAGCGATCTAATAACACACCCACAAGAAATCAACCATATATTCAGAAAAAAAAAATGGAAAAGGAAAACCAATAGTCAAAGGGCATTCAGGGACGAAGCTGTAGTTGGAGGGAAGGAGGAAGTTTCCATCCATATGTGCATGGTTGGAGGTTAGGAATTTATGTTCCTGACTCCAAAACATGGTCAATGGGTTAAAAGCAAGCAAAAATAGCTCACAGGAAGCAAATTTTCTGTGTGAAATTTATAGCAGTGAATGGAAAAAATTATTGAAGTTACAGAAATAGAAACTTCAGGAATCTAGCATGACATTTTGGGAGATGATGGAAAATATTTTTAGTAAAATATCTAATCACTAATTCCCTGCTTGTTCTTTTAGGAAATATTTAAAAAAAAATTATGATTATTTTAATGAAATATTGAAAAGTTTTAATAATACTCTAAAATTTTAAACTTTAAATATATAATTTATCAATGAAATTTCAAATATTGCCAACATATTGGCAAAATATCGAGGATATTTGGGAAAAAAAAAAGATTCCTGAAAAATTTCGTATCACACTTAGCAAATGGAGATATATCGGGAATATTTCGCCAAATATCATTGATATTGTGAACCATGGGTCTCAGCCACCCTATAACCCAAGTCCAATGGTCCAAATCTGATTTATGTCTATCAGGGTTTTGGGCCCAACATTTGCAACATGATCTTTCAACCATTAATAATATAACATTAGGAATCAGAGAGGACTTATTCCCTTAACACAGCCCAATGTCATACTCTCCTTTACAATGGATCCAAGGAAAGAATGATTTGCAAAACCATTTCTAAAATAAACTATTTATAATATAATATACTTTTAAAAACTGATTCCAAGACGATCTAAAATCTACCATCGATAGCTTTAGTCCTTCCATTGGAGAGAGTATGTTCATAGATATTCTCTGTCTGACAAAGTAATTGATCCTATCACAATGATCACTTGCCCAAACAACTCAAATACCTGCTCCAACATACCCAAGTGTTGATCCCAGAAGAATCTCATTAATTGGCATATCAAAAAAGTAGCTCTGCCTAATACCCAACGGAGTAATATTATCATGTCAAGGATCACATGATGCTTCAGTTGTTCAAACTATCACAAAGTTCCGGGAACAATCTGAAACTAGTATGTTTCAAGTGTTTTAGGTAAACACCCATTCTCACACCTTGGGTCATAACCCTTTTAGTTGAGACCTACCATAACATAGGTAGCGTGAGAATGCTGACCTTGTCAGGATTAGACCACCTAAGTTTATCCACTGGTTGAGAACATTTAGACTGCATGCTGACTATGATATCTTAAAAAAATAAAACCAGTAGCACATGACACAATCCTAAAATGTAGTACAAGGGTAATTTGCATAAATGCACCACATGACACATGAATAAAAAATTGCACTTTTATTCACAATAAAAGTCAACTACAACATCTATTGGAGCTAAGGGCATACGCTGTCTAAAATTTCCAACTCCTTGTTTCAATTCAGAATTTTGAATGGCACTTGTGTAGATCCAAATTGTTTCAAATTTTCTTCTATAACCCTAAATCTAGACCTGTTCCAAATCTTTAAACTCCTCTTATATCTTTTCAACTTATGTATGAGATGGTCTATTCCATTCTTGTTAAACAAGAAAGGCCAGTTCTCTTCAATTATATTTTTACACTCATCTTCCTCTACCCACATAGGAAGTGAAATTCTTTAGGACCAAACACAATAGTTAGATTTATGTTTAAAATTAAAACAGAATGGTCCAAAAAATACGAAGGAGAAAGATTGGATTTTAGCTTCCAAGTTCTTAGAGCATGACCAGGGAGTAGCTAAACCACAGTCAAGCTTTTCTTTTACTAACCTTTTTCCCCCTTGTCCATTGATCCAAGTGAAACGGTTACCCACCATTTGAATCAGTTTGAGCATATGAGACTAAATTGATGTTTGAAGTGCTTTGGATGTTTATTAGAGGACTCTCTACTCCCTTGATAACCATCACAATCAATTACATCATTCAGATCCCCCAACATCATCTAGTGTGAATGATCTTCAATGAATGCAAAAAAATTCCCCCAGAACTTAGGTCTTTTCTTCTGACCAAGATGACCATAAACTAAACACAACAACCACCTTCCCTCATTTTGACCCACCGATATGTTTGCAACTATCAGTCATCTTTTGAAACAAATATCCAATCCCATATTATGTTTTCAGGCACAATATAACCCCCTAGCCAGTCCCTGCATTGGCACTCCACAGTATTCAGAATATTGAAGTTTTCTACCCAATAACTTGCATTTATTTGCAGACATCATAGTTTCTGATAGGGAAACAATGTCCGGGTTAGGAATGTGATAGATCCTTTTCAAGAATCTTAAAGTCCTAGGGCTGTTACACCCTTGGACATTCCAAGATAGGATTTTTTTATCAGCAACACAAAGAAGAAATTTTATTGATTGGAAGAATAAAGGGCAGATTACAAGGTACATATTGTTTCTTTGAACCCCTTGCTTAGCTAAGCTGTCAACCAAGCTATTCTCCTAATCCATCTGATTTGGATATAAAATCCTTTGATAGCTGTCACCCAAGCTATTCCCAGATAAGATTTTCATCATTCAGGAAGCTTCACCAGAACAACTATAAGATACAAATGCATTGTCAATAGCTCACAAGAAATGATAATGGAATACCTGAGTCGAGCCAAAAAATGGTAGGCAGATGCAAATATGCTGTAAAAGCTGAGAATTCTTGGCCCAACCAAATTGGTTGGATTAGTCGGTTAAACCAGGGATGATAGAAGTGACTTAAATTCTCTTCTAGATGTCCCACAGTTTTTCTATTTTTTTCAAAACAGGTAAAGTATAATATTCAATAAAGGCAAAAAACATGTACAACAAGGAGCTGTACACAGGGATTTACAAAAAAGCTGAACAAGCAGAACTATACCCCCAAACCCTGATTTACAAAAAGATTCCCAACAGCAAAAAAAGAACTAAAATTTCTGTCCTTAAACACACTGTTTACTGCTAACCATGAGAGCATTTTCCCCAAAATTTCCTGAAAAACTGTGTTTGAAGAGCTGCGCTGATTCTTGAAAATCCTTGCATTCCTCTCCTGCCATATGCACCAAAAAACAGCAGCAGGAGTCAGGTTGCACGCCAACTTTCCCTCTTTTGTGAGGCCTTTGACTCTCCAACTCTTCACAAAATCTGCTATTGGTTCAGGGCAACAACTATTTACCTCAAACAAGTTCCTGACCTTAATCCAAATGTCATAGGAAAAACAACAATAAAGTAACAAATGATTGACTGACTGACTCAGTATGATTCTGACAAAGCACACAAGCAGTTGTGTCCAGCAGCATACCCTTCTCCAGAATATCATCCCTAGTCAGAGTCCTGTTCAAGTAGGCTGTCCAAACAAAAAATGCCACCTTTGTGGGCACACTCTTACACCACACAAAAGAAATGCCACCTTCACTGTTTAGTGGAGTATATGACTAATCAATAGATTAGGGAAGGTATTGCCACCAGTTATAAGAACATGTCATGCCTTGCAGTTACAAATATTGCAACCATGTGTATATTGGAGTAATGCATGCTAGAGATGTAGACTTTAGAAGGTAAAGACTGTTCATCTTCCGAGTGAGTGAGTTATCTTCCCGAGTTTGACTCACTCATGTCTACACAGCTAACAATCATGGAACATAAGTTTCCATTTCCAATCGCCATTGATGAAAACCATGCTGACCTTATGGGCGCACTTGAAACTTATTTGATTGAATCAAGCCAGTTGATATATGTTGACTCAAGGGATTCATTCACTCATCTGCTTTCTGTTAACCCAAGCCTTGTAGTGAATCTTTTTATTAGTGAGAAAAGTTACATGCAGGCTTGACCCACTACAGACTTTTGATGCCAGTTGTAGTCTCAGCTCCATAAAATCCTCACTCACCTTACCAGAAAACCAGGTTACAGGTTTGATGTCGTAGCAAATGTTAAGATACAGACTTGATTCTGATTACAGGCTTGACACTCATACTCAAAACTTTATATGCATGCCATCAGGCTTTTTTTTTGATAAATGAGTGGTATTTTATTAAGCCTAGAATAGAAAAGGTGTACAATCAGCACAAAAGGAGGCACGAGATGTTACCTCCCTTTAGAGCTAAGCAGTTAAGCACACACTATATCCTGAATTACAATTATAAGGTAGCACATAACAGAATGCCCCTTGATACCCCCTGTTTAGCCAAACAATCAGCCATGGCATTTGCCGATCTGCTGACCCACTGAAAACTGACATATTCCTTGTAAGACAATGAACTTTCTTCAAAAGATCCCTGAAAACTGACATATTCCTTGGAGTCCCCTTCAACTATTAGGTCCTCCAGTGCAACATGTATTCCTTCTACCATGGCTAGCATCTCAGCCCTTGTAGAGTCACCAATTCCCACTGGTCTTGAGAATAAAGATATTATGTTGCTATCCTTATTGTTTAGAATCCCTCCTATACCCGAGGACCCTGGATTACTTTGACTGCTTCCGACTTCATTTTTACCACACCTTCCAGGGGAGATTTCCATTCTGCTAGTAGAGTAATCTTTGTGGAAGCTGTGGATGCCATGGCTGCCCAATTTCTCCTCAAATCATCAAAGGAATAGTTCACAAAAAGATCTTAAGTTTTCAGCCAAGATATTGTCCTTGTCATGATCCACTCCTTGACTCCTTTGCTGTTCGCTTATTCTCTCTTCTACTGCTTACACAAACCAGCAAATCCTTACCCTAAAACCCTACAGAGTATGGAGTTTACAGCGCCAGGAATGATATCTTTGCTCAAGCTTATGATTCATCTATC